AGACGCTAGAGGGGCAGAGGGAATTGGTCTTTCCTGGACTGGAGAGCAGCTTTATAGCAGCTTCATAGCTTGATGGCTTCAAGCTACAACAGGGTAGGTTTAAACTGAACATGAGGAAAGAGTTTTTCACGGAAGGAGTAGTCAGGCATTGGAGTAGGCTGCCCAGGGAGGTGGTTGAGTCACCATCCTTTAAGAGTCGTTTAGATGTGGTGTTGGGGGATATGGTGAAGGGGAGAACTTTGTAGAGTAGGGTAGATGGTTGGACTCGATGACCCCAAGGATCTTTTCCAACTTAAATGATTCTATGATGCTATAGGTTTGTGGCCGCGTTAGTTAGTGGCCAAGAGCTGCGTGGTGGGGCTGGACCTTGGCCCCTTCCGAAGTGTTCCAGCCATGACGGTACGTGGTGGCTGCAGTCCCCTGCATGCAGTCCTCGCTATTTCCAGATGCTGTTAATTTAGCCCCGGGTTCCCTGTAGCCCTTCACGCCGTTTGTGCGGCCCTGGCGGGTTTCCGCGCCCTGAGAGCATTGCAGATGTTGCTGGGGATGCACTTGCTCCAAGCGGCGCGGGGAAGGGCGGCTCCCCTGGCCTCGGCCAGCCCCGCCAAGGGGCCCGCAGGCTGGGCCAGCTCCCCAGCAGCCCGTGGGCCCAGCCCTGCCCTCTCTCTTTACAGCAAGCGCGATTTTTGTGCGTCGCCTCGGCCAATTTGTTATGGTTTAAGGCCGGGGAGCCAGCTGTCTGCAGTCTGATGTAATGTTGCCCTGGAAACCAGCAACGAAACACTTAAGCGTTCACCACAGAATTACTACATACAGCATTAGCCAAAATAATTAAAAGTTGGGCCATATGGGCTTTCGGATGGAAAGATTTGGAGCGGAGGAGATTGAAGTTAAGTTGTTCCTATTTACAGTACTGCAAATCCATTTGTTTTCCCCGTGGAGCACAGGGAGAGGCCTGCTCCCCGTGCTGGGGGACGGGGAGATGGAGGGGCCCGGCTGTTTTACTGCTGCATTAACACCACCGAGGCTTGGCCTAACAGGACGGCCATGTGCTGGGGACGGGAGGCATTGGCGGAGGGGGGTACAGCATGGCCTCCTCTCTCGTGCCAGGGAGCCTGCAGCCAAGCCGCTTGCAGATGCATCATTCCCTCTTTACCAGACTATGTCTACTCTTTTCATAGAATCATAGAATGGTTTGGGTTGGAAAGAACCTTTAAAGATCATCCAGTTCCAAGCCCCCTGCCACGAGCCTGGACATCTTCCACTAGACCAGCTTAATCAAAGCCCCATCCAACCTGGCCTTAAACACTTCCAGGGATGTGGCATCCATAACGTCCCCAGTCAACCTGTTCCAGCACCTCACCACCCTCACAGTAAAGAATTTCTTCCTGATATCTAACCTAAATCTCCCCTCTTTCAGCTTAAAACTGTAAGTCCTTCATCCTATCACTCCACTCCCTGATAAAAGAGTCCCTCTCCATCTCTTCTGTAGCCCCCTTTAGGTACTGGAAGGCTGCTATAAGGTCTCCCTGAATCCTTCTGTTCTCCAGGTTGAGCAACCCCAACTCTCTCAGCCCGTCCTCATAGTGTGCAGTGCTGCAGCATACTGAAACACTCATTAAGGGGGGAGAGGACGAGAGAGGGGCTGGCAGCCTACTGCATCAAAGCCCCGTGCCAAGACCTGGCTGCTAGAGCTGTCCAGGAAGCCATTTGCCCAGCCCGCCACGCGTTGGGGAGTTTGGGGTGATTTTCCCATCTGAAGTCAGGGACAGCCACCAAGAAAAGCAATTCTGTCACCATGGAAGCTGGGAGGGTAGAGTGGGTCGGGGAAGTCAAAGCGTTGAAGTTCAGTGATTTCCAAATATGTCGCTTAGAGCCGAAATGCTTTACATTTCTGTTTTCTGTTTAATATTAGCTGTAAAAGAAAACATTGCTTGAGCTGGAAAATTAAGCTCTGTTTCCCATGTGCCAAAATGGAAACTTCTGATAATTTCAAGGCCGTTTTTTAAAAAAACTGTTTCAAAAACAGGAAGCGAATAAAAAGTAACCCTTTTTCAAAATTGTTTTATTTTCAAGGAATCAGCATTATTGGACAAGAAAGTTTCCTGAGCGGCACCACTGGCATAGTCACCAATGTTTTTAGGCCTTTTGGCATAAACCTATTAGCCATCCTTTTCCTTTACAGAAGATTTTTCCATGCCACGTGCTAGCCAGTATGATTGGAAATAGGCTGCTGGAGAGGGATAGACTTCGATTTTAATCAACCCATTATCCAGCAGCTCCCATTGTTACGCACAAGCTGTTCTCGCCTCTCTTGGTCAAGCACCAGTGCTAGGGAGCATCTGTCCCTGCCTGCAGAGGACCGCGGCGCAAAGGATGCCAACAGTCCCAAAGGGTTGGGGAAAACCAGCTGGCACTTGAATACTATGGGACTTCAGTTATTTTGAAGTATAGGGGATCCCCTGTACCACCCACTTGGGTTTGATGTTAGTACCTGGTGCTGAGGCTATTTTGGCGCTTGCTTTTGCAGTGGTAGTAGTGAATGCAAATGTCAGAAGTTGTAAAAGCTTTTGTTGTCATTGTTGAGTCTTCCTAACCCCAAGGGGGGATAGTTCTTTGTCAGACACCAGGAATGTAAAAGTAAGACTTGTTGTTTACGCTTTGATGAAATCCTGGGCAGGAGGACCAGGTATTAGACATTCTCAAAGTCTCATAGAGTTCACAGTTTTACAAACAGTAGTCTTGCAAACCAAGGGTGTATGAGAAGTAGTAAAGGAGAGCAATGACTTAGAGTAATTGCATTTAAAATAAACATATCTTGAGTGCAGAGTATGCATGATGGTTGCTTGCCAGGATGCACTTAATGGCCTAAGAAGTCTTGATTAAACTTCTTGATTACGGTCAATAATCCATTCATTTTCTTATCTAAATATGTCTGTCTTGTTGTTTGAAATGTCACTAAGTTTTCCCAGCCATAATCTCTGAATTAACGCTCATCTTGCTACTTAATTTATCTTGATATAAACAAGTCTGGTACTCCTCTTTACAGCCCTGTTTTTCCCGAAGGAAGATTATTAATTACCTAGCCAGCCTGTACCCATAATAAATGCATTCCTGCGGCTCTCAGATGGCAGAATGGCAATTCCTACTGCCATATGTGATCCATTTGGTATTTCTTCTTGTTTTGGAGCAACACAAAGTTTGTGGGAAATCAGTAATTGATGGTGCCCTTGCAGAAAGTGGCTGAAGTTTGCTCTGGTGTGGTTCTGGTGGCCTCGTGAGGTGCATTCCTGCGAGGTAGGCTTTCAGAGCTGCTCTGGCTCCTTCAGGCGCTGTTTGTGCCTTTGAAACTGTACCCGTGCAACTGCTAATTGATGTCCTGCCCCGTGGCATCTACTGTTAATACCACATCCTGATATTTAAGTGTATTAGAAATCCAGGAAGCGTTTTTATATTTGGCCTGCCTTTTATTCAGCATCCGGATGAGCAGACAGCATTTTTGCTGGGGGAGAGAAGGTGGTTTGGTTTTTTTTTTCTTTTGGTTTGTTTTTTGGCTTGCATTTGTTGGGGATTTTTCTTTTTTTTTAAAGTTTAATTAAGGAGAAAAAGAAAAAAGGATGAGCACGCTGTGGAAGCCCAGATAGCTGTTCCGACAGGAAGTTGCATGAGGGTTTTTAGAGCCGACCATTAGGAATGCAGTGAATTGGCCAGGACCGAGGGTGAAAACAAAGTAAGGTATATGATCCATACCACGCTCCAGCTGGAGCCCGTGCAGGAATGTGCAGCGGCGCACGGTGCCAGGGCTGTCCTGGCTGAGCCAGAGAGCACTGCCGGCCTCCTCTCCTCTCCCCTTCCCTTCCCCCCGCTGCCTTCCACATTCTGAACTGATTAAAACAGAGGAAGTAGCACATTGAACGTTGGATCTGGCTCGAAAATCGAAGTCGTCTTCTCGTTCACAAGGAATGGATTGTTTCAGCTTGTTGTGTCACTGCTGCTGGAAAGAGGGGAATTTTTTTTTGTCTCTGTAATGTTTGATACTTGAGGGAAAACAGCTGGAACTGAGCATACTGGATCAGATGCAAAACGAAACGGGATGCTGGGGAATATGGACTGCACTGTATATCTGAAAAGGTCAGAGTTTTCCCTTGGTCAGTGCTGGAGGAATGCTGTGTCCATCTTAATTCCAGCCTCGAGAGCCTTCAGGAGGAGTGTAGGGAGCAGGGAGGAGGAAAGGAATATTTTGTAGCTGTGGCAGTTCGTGAGTGAGGCAGATGAGGTCTCCTCCTTCCTTTTCCTTCCCGTCCCTTTCTTGTGCTGCTGGTTTTGATTTTCTGGGAAGACCGGGGAGGGGGGGGGGGGAAAGAAAAGTGGTCAATGACAGAGCTTCAGTTTGAAGAAGCTGTTTATAACCAGGTTTAAACAGCAAGTTCTGAGATGCCAGACAGACCAGTGACCGACCCAAACCACAGGAGCATAACTGGTATGGTAAGAAGAGCCCTGGGAAAGAGCCCTGCCTGAAACGTACCGAGAGAGGACGTGGAAGTAGTTATTACACAATGCATGGGAAGAAAGACAAGGGCAGGAATGCGTTTCAATGCCTACGATCTTACGTTTCACAGATTTAGAAATCAAAATGGTATGTCATGCTTTCAGAAAAAGAAAGAAAAAAAAAAAAAACGTACCGAGAGAGGACGTGGAAGTAGTTATTACACAATGCATGGGAAGAAAGACAAGGGCAGGAATGCGTTTCAATGCCTACGATCTTACGTTTCACAGATTTAGAAATCAAAATGGTATGTCATGCTTTCAGAAAAAAAAAAAAAAAAAAAAAAAAAGAAAACCCTCAGTAATTTAAATGTTTCTGTCTGACCTGGTCTGAAAATATAACACCAGTTAGAGCTGCATTGACCCAGCGCAGCAGATGAGCTGGGTTAACTTGACGTGAAGGAGCAAGCCGTGGAACTGCTACTTTATTAATATTCCCTTTGTTTCTTTGCCAGTCAAGAGAACAATCCGATGATGAAACAGAGGAGTCGGTGAAGTTTAAGAAGTTGCACAAGCTGGTGAATTCTACTCGCAGAGTCAGGAAGAAACTCATAAGAGTGGAAGAAATGAAAAAACCCAGCACAGAAGGTAAAAAGCAATATGCATATGGTTAAAACTGCATGTGTGAATATGTGTTTCTCTTGAGAGGGGACAGAAAGTGGAGGGCTGGGGGAGGGAGGGGTGGAGTGTTCTTAAAGGACGGTGGGAAAGACTGCCTGGTCTATGGTGCATGCCTTCCCCAAGTGATTGCATTTTGATACTGTGGAAGGAGTAAAGTGACAGCCTAGGATGTGGTTACTGCTGATCTCTTGGTATTCCCAGAGCAGCGCTGGAGAGCCCCTCATTAAGAGATTAGAACTTGGTTTATGTTTTATGCCTCATGCTGGGGAGGGAATGAGAGAGACTAGGACCAATCCCAGGCTCAGCAGGGAGGTAAGCAGAGCCACCACCACGTTGCTCCCTCTTCCAAGGCCTGGGACACGGGACACAGGTGAAGCTCTTGCTAGTTTTGGGAGGGTAATAGCTGGTTGGTGGTGCAGTTGTGCCACATGGCATCATCCTGCAACAAGAGTACAGAAATTCTATCAGACATTCTTGTGGGATAGGGACTGCCTCGTGTGATATTAACTCCTCTGCTTCTGGGGGAGCCTGCTTGCAGTTTGCCTCCTGAATGAGCCCCGCTGTCAAGAGAGAGGGGGGGAGAGGGAGAGAGAAGGGAGGAGGAGGAGGGTGGGGAAACGGGAAGCAGAGTTCAGCCCCTGGGAATGCCATGAACATGCTGTAGAATTAACTCTAGATGATCTGTACCCGTGTGTGAGCACTCAGAATAAGGGAGCCTGAGCCTCAGGAGCCTCTCTGCAGAGCCCTGCTTGAGTCCTCACAGGAATTGTGGGCACCCCTCCACATTAGCACCCTTCCAGGGATCATAAGCCGATTCCTCTCAGCTTTGCATTGAGCTGAGCCATGTTGTGATTCCTTCCTGGTGCATTTAAGGAGAACGTGTGCATCTTGGCTATGTGGCAGGAAGCTGTTGGCAGATTTATGACCTAGCCTGCCTCTCTCCTGCGTGATGGTGGTGTTACTGGCTGGCATGAAAGGCGCAGCCAGTCTGGAGCTCTGGACCGGGCAGCTGTCTTGGTCTGAAAAGGTTTTGTCACCTCATAGGGTGAGCGTAAAGCTGGGTTACCTTGGAAGCAAAAACATGGTTTATGAGAAAGCCCTGTTTTGTTTGCCCTATTTTCCCCCCTGTGCTGGGGAGAGGACCCCAGAGAGGCCTTTCCTGCCCCCTCCCTCCTTCCCTATAGGCCTGGGAAAAGCTGCAGGGAGCAATCAGCCGGAGGCTCCAGGGGTGGGAGCAGCTACAGAAGCAGGCAGTCCAGGGCTGCACAGACTCTCTCTCCAGCTTGTTAACTCTCTGTGGTGCTCTTGATTCCCTCTCTTACACGGCTTCACCTTCTTACCTCCCTTTCACCTTTAGTCACCTACAGGTGGTTTTTTTCCACAGTTTTCCATCCCTGTGACGCCCAGAAAAATCACTGAATTAACATCTATCTAAAAAAAAAAAAAAAATCTGCTCTGCTTCCTTCTTTCTCCATCTCCTGCTGATCTATGTTTTAACTACAGGTTTTTCTGAATAAATTATCTAAAACTCTGAGTTTGCACTTTATCTAGCACTCTGGGGTTCCTTTGTAAATTGGCTCTTGGGGAACTGTAGAAAAACCAATTATTGCTAAGTAACAACATGGATTACTTCTGCATAACTTCTACATAAGTAGAAGGCACCTTAAGTAGCCAAGTCTATGTTAGGAGTAGATATCTCTGACTTTTCTTTCAGTGAATTCTCGCTGCACCCAAGTTTTCATGTAGCAAATTAAAAGCGCTTCATAAATGCTGTCCATCCTCCTGTCTCATAATGTAGGTCTGTATTCCCATTTGGATATGTCAGAGGGCTCTGCAAGATCATAAAAAATACTGTTATTGGATTGGGGGATTGCTGTCTGACCTTCCAAGTTACCTGTGGTTGACCGGATCCGTTCTCGAGCTGTTTGCTGCTCTTACATGAACCTGTGTTATGAATGTGAAGTAATGTGAAGTCCTAGATGGCTAGGTTTTGGGGAGCTGGCTATAAAATTTGATTGAGTGAAATTTCAATAAATTCATCAGTGTTCAACAGCCTTTAACAAAGTGTGAGAGTATGGTTGGTTTGAAAATGGATGTGCAGTTCTCCAGAAGAAAGGTTCCTCATAATTCTCCTCAAAAAATTCTTCACAAAGAACAACTTTGCCAAATTCCCCTTATACATTCCTGTAGTTCTTAAAGAAAAGTACACTAGTCCCAGATTCTTCTCCCACATTTCTACTATTGACTCTATCGCACTAAATATAAATCTGGATGATTTGATACTCACTAGAATGTGCCAATATCTGAATCCATGTGCATTTTGTGTTAGTCTGCTCCTAGTGAGCTAAATAACCGAAGCTTTCTATTCCTGGGCACCATTCTTATATAGCATTTAAAAACAAATCACATCTACATCTGTGTCATTATGGCTTGGTGTCATGGACTCATTCCAAATAACATCTGTTACAGTGTTGACACACAATGCATATTTTACAAGCTGTTTAAAAACATATTTACTCAGTGGACTAAAGTTGTTTATCAGCACATATCCAGTCCCGGGAGAATGTCTATTTTCTGTTCAAATTGAGAAGTACAGGGGAAAAAGTGAGTTGGATAGTCCAGTGAAAGTGGTGTCAAAATCAGACTCCAGTTTGCAGACCTACCCCAGAAAAGTTCTCAAGAGTGAAAGGTGTGTGATACGAGCCACTATCACACACTGTCACAGCGAGTTTGATCTTGGTAAAATAGCATATTAGGTTTCAGCAAATATATATGAAATATGTTTTGCCAACACAGTGAACTGAAGCTGAGACAGGAAACTTGTACATGGCAACTCATCTTCTTTCATCTTGAAATGTGTCCCCTGTCAGTAAATCGTCGGTGTTTGGTAATGGTTCAATCTTAGCTCTGCTCTAAGACTGTGGAAGCGATCAAAAATGGAGGCAAAGTTGGGTCAGGCAAGACATTTATTTTGGCAAGAAGTAAATACAGTCACATTTCCGTGTGTGTTTCTGATACATACCTATGCTGTGAAATGTGTCAGGCAGGACTGAGGAGGATGTGTGCTCTTGTTTGACTCTCTTCTTGTTACTCCAGCTAGTACTTGAGCCTATACTTTGCTCAGAAGAAAGCACCAGAGAATAGTTTCTTAAATGATAAATGTGAAAAGAAATTGCAATTTCTCTCTGTTCCAAAAAGGAGACCTGGCTGTTTGCCCATCTCCAGTACTTGCATTGCAAAACTTCTTCCCTTTCTGTGAAATATGTATTTGGTGAAAACCAAGTGTTTCTGTCATTACCAGCACACTGTTGAAACTGGCACACCCGCAATTTGACCTACTTTATTTTTTTCTTTGCATCTGTTTAAGTAAATTCTGTGTTAAAATTGGTACCCATTGAGAACCCAAAACTTCCAATTTTATCCCAGAGCTCAGCTCCATAACTTTCTGGGGAAAAATACTACTTTCTGCAGCAGCAGCAGCAGCACTGGGTATTGGAAAACTGGACCTGAGAGATACTTGTTTGATTTTTAATACCCGTGTATACTTCTGACTTGTGGGTAATTGCGCTAGAGCTGAGCATCGTATGCAAGTATCAGAAGAAAAATATGAGAAACAGATCCCAGTTCCTGCTTTTAAGGGGTTCTTAGTGCTAGAATCTGTGGTCTTACTTAGCTGCAGATAGAAGAGAGAAACTTTAAATTACGATGAGTTTACTTACAGGATGCTGCTGTCTGTCTACTGTTAACTCATCCCAGAACTCTCACTTCACAAATGGAAGGAACTGTTTCAGGTTTATCCACTTGCAAGTACCTTCTGGGCTGTTTCTATCAGGAAGAGTTTTATTCCATTTTAAGTGGGTGATATTGTGAATAAATACAATAAGGCTGTAGAGGGAAACATCTTAAAGAATTATGAGTGATGACACGTGTTGTGCTGGTTTTGTCCCCCGTAGGTGTGGAAGAGCACTCGCTTGACAACTCTCCTATACTGGATGACAGATCGGCACTTTACTCTGGAGTTCACAAGAAGCCATTCTACTTTGACAGCTCCTGTGAAAAGCAGCCAGAGGACGACTCGGACTCACTTACTACTTCTCCTTCATCCAGCAGTCTTGATACTTGGGGAGCTAACCGGAAGCTGGTGAAGACCTTCAGCAAAACTGACAGCCGTGGCCTTATCAAGCCTCCCAAGAAACTCGGGACATTTTTCTCTTACCCAGAAGAGGAGAAGACCCAGAAAGTTTGCCGCTCCTTGACAGATGGGGAAATGAAGAAGAGCCTCGGCTCCCTGAGCCATGGGGTAAGTACAGAAAGCATTTGCTTTTATGACAGCAACAGGCACAAGCACCATCTTCTGGTGTCCCTGGAGGAGATTCAGAGTGTAAGGAAGCAGATCCGATTGAAGAAAATGGATACTAACTATTCCTGTTCCAGAGCTTTTCTTTGCCAGCGCCCTGCTAGGAAAGGAGCATCCACTGCAACTTGTGACCTACAATTACTGCGGCACAAAACGAAAGGGGGTGGAGGTTGTGGCTTCCCAAACAGAAGGCTACGAGGGCGCACTTCTGTCAGCGAGTTCAATATTACCTATGTGGTGGAGAGAAGCCTGTACAGTCACCTCAACCTCTCACAGCTGGTGCGTCCCGTTACTGACAGGACCCTGAGCAAGGCCGACAAGCAGGACCTGAGGAGATGCCTGCTGGAGGAGGATGAGGAGGCCAAGAGGAAGTGGGCTGCTACAGTGGATCGCTGTACTAAAAGGGTTCTCTTGAGAATCCACCAAAAGTCTGTGAGTCAAAGAGTTGCCATGAAGGTGGTCTTCCAGTTTCCGTGAGGTTGCAGTCAACACTTTCTGCTGTATACTTTTAACTAAGATTCAGTGCTTTCTGCTTTCCTTGCTGTTAGAAACTCTTAATCACTGTAATTCAGCTCTAAGGGAAGAGCTTGATGTAATCCCATCAGAGAAGAGTTTTGTTGAGCCTGCAGTTTCAGAATACCTTAGTGAGAGAGAGCAAATACAAAAAAATGCTGCCTTTTAAATTCACCTAGTGCAGAAATTAAGATCACTGGTGAACAGAAGAGCTTTGAGTTGCTATAAACATGTTCTTTGTGATGCTTTCGAAGTCACTATTTTCTTAAAGAAATGCCAGGAGATGAACAAAATTTTCAGAGGATTAGAGCATCTTTAGTCAACTATGCTCTGTTTCTCTTCTGCTGTCATTGCCTCATATTGGCCTTCCCCTTCTCAACTTGCATCTCATCAGTTCACCCACCCAGCTCTGTATTCTCAGTTACACACACAGCTGCAGAAGGACAGGGATTTTTACAGGGACTTTTACATTATGTAGACACTGCCCTCCTGCTTGCTGCTCACCACCACCAGAAGTGCCTTTTCTGCACTGTCCCTGGCCCACTGCTCCTTCTTTCTAGCATGGGGTGAAGGTGGCACCTTCCCTCAGAGAGTTGTGGAAAGGGAAACAGGGGTGGCCAAAAAAGGAAATTGTGCTGTACAATGGGAAATTATGTGATTTGAGCACTCCAGAGAGATCCAAAGCTGCTTCCTGATTGTATGACCCAGTTTTACAGTTCCCTTAACCATGATGCTGACTTTCCTAGGAACTTGCCTTTCGGGCCAGCCAGATCTCCAAAGTTGAGTCAGCCAGTCTGTTGTCTAGTTGACAATGTAGGTATGTTCCCTACTTCAGTGAGTGGAAACAGCAGTGCTCCCATAACATTAAGTAAGATCTTCCAGTGAACAATGCAGTAGAAACAGCTTTTCCTCTTGAACTGCAATTTTTTTTAGGAGGTCTCTGCTTCATTTCTTCAGGTGTGAGGTATTCTGGATAGGAGTCACAGCCTTGGTCTCTTTGAGTAACCTGTGGGAGGTGACCAAGCCTTTATGGCTCAATTTTTTTCTCTTTAGCCACAAAATAGATAGTTTTTTTCTACCATATACCAGGAACATTCTCTCGGCAGCTTAAGTATTTCTTCTGCATTTACCACTTGCCCTGCCACTGACAGGGTGTACTGTTTATTTTCACAGGTATGTACTCAAAAGACATTGTTTGCCCATAAGGATATTGCAATGATAAGAGAAACCTTACTTGTCCTTCTATATGTTGAGTAAAGCAGTATCTCAGGCAAAAGAGCATACTCATATGTGCTAGAGATGCCCCATAATTAAGAGTACCCTCTAAAACTGTTTTTCTACATACAGATAACACACACGCTTTTTAGTTCTTCTAATAAGTAGTCTTGCTATAGTAATTTCATTATAAAACCATCTGGCCTGACTTACTCACAGAGGTACAAATGGAGAAGTGGTTGGTTATTATTGCTGAGGAGCTCCTCAGTCAGCTGCTCCTCCGGTCTTTTTTGAATGGGATAAATGGTGGAGACACGCTGCTCTCACTAGCTTTTTTCAGCACGCTTCTTCCTGAAACCACAAAAAGCTGGCAAACTTCAACTAATGCCACTCCTCCTTCCTAGAAACACTTAATGTTTGTTCGCTGCAACCTCAGGGAAATTGCAATGCCTATGTATTCAGTGGAACTGGTCACTCTGTCTTGCCTTGCCATTCATTTTTGTCATTTATATTTGTTTCAGTGACCTGGACATGCATGAAATTTTCGAATTGCATCAGTTTTTCTTTTCTCCCAAAACAATAATACTTTTGATTGCATGGCCATTCCATTGAATATCCCTCTCCCCATCCACAGACTTTTTGTTTGGTACAGTATTGCCAGGGTTGCTACGGGAGTCTGAAGGTGGAAGTCATGTGTTAAATGTATGGGGAGGTCCATAATGAAACACTAAGCATCGTTAATATGGTACATTTATTCAGAAGCTTTTAACCAACAGACATTTTGCTTTCTGAGAAGGCTGCTTTAGGAGAAGCTCTGGCTGGTTTGACGGACAAGTTTGCTCAGAGCAGTTCCAGATGTCCTCTCTTCGTTGCTGGGGTTGCCATACACTGTAGGATTAGTTAGAATGGACTCTTCACAGAAGGATGACATTACTCATGGCTAAACGTGCTGTGCTTTAAAAACTGATCTTATTACTTGTGGTTGGTCTCAAATGTTTTCCAAAAACAATTTTTACAAGCTATGCCATAGTCACATTGCCTTCTGGGAAAAAAAACCAAACACACACACACACACACTGCCCCCCCCCACACAAAAAAAAACAAAACAAAAACAACATAGCAGAATAAAAGCAACACGTACATTTTACCTATAAACTTTGTGTCTTTCATGCAGGACCACATTTTATTTGCATGGAGCACAGAAAAAAGTAAAGGGGAACGTATAAGCAAAATCACTCATTTCCCTTTTCAATCTCATTGGGTTTTACTTATTTTTTCCGAGGCTCAAAAAGCACTCAAGGGAAAAATCACCACATGCCTTTTTCTTATATTCTCCCCTAGGCATCCACTTCTGGCCCTCGCTGGAGACACAACACTGGGCTACGCAGACCTTCCATCTGACCCAGTACAGGCACTCTTGTGGCTTCTGCAAGAGTACTAAACTTCCTATTAAAAAAAAAAAACCAAAAAAAAAACCAACAACCCCAACAAATGAACACTTGAAAAAAATTCTACATTGCATCACTCTTTTTTATGTGTGTGGGGTCTACCCAAAGCTGGCTTTGACTTCTAATAGAGTTGTGGTGGGTACATTCCAGCACTGCAGATACACAGGACCCCACATAAAAGCTAGAAAAGAAAACTTTTTAAAAGCTGTTAATATGTATGCTGATTAGCACTGAACAGGGCAGGAAGAATGTTTAGTTTAATAGAACTAATTGTTATAATTGTTTACTAAGTGGCACAGTTTATAGAGCTTGCTTCATCCTCGTAACTGTTGAAGCAGACTGGTAGTTCTCAGGTGGTGGGATCCTCCCTGACTCCAAGTACACACAGCACTGACTGGGCAATCCTTTGTAGGTCTGATCTGATGCCTACCTGAGTCTTAAGGTATCTTTGAAGTTATGCTTTTGGGTAGTTCAGCCCTTAAGAATTTATGGTTTGCAACTGGTTGATCTTCTGCCTCCTGTTTGTCTCAACTCTAACACTGAGGAGAATACTTAAAATAGACTCGCAACCCACACTCGGAGCCTGGATTTGAAGCTGTGCAAGTAAATTATAGCTGCCATGCTTTCATTTCCCTGGATTGCCCTGTGAGACTTCTGGCAGGGCCAGGTACTTGAGTACTGTGCAGCTGGTTGTTCAGTGGCCAAATAAAAAGTCAAAGGTTTTACCTTTTGGATCTCAAAGCAAAAGCTGGATTCTCTCTCAGCCCCCTAAGTGTCTGGTCTTTTTCCCAGTGATATCAAAGCTTTAGCAGAGACTCATCTGCCGCAGTTAAACAATGGTTGGCTGTGGAAACGCAGCTGTACTGAGGTTGGTTGCCCTCTGCTCTTGGGGGGGAAGCTGTTTCATAGCGCTGATTTTCTTTTTTAATTCAGGATGATTATGATAAACTGCCTCTGTGCATTCGGCCAAAACCGAGTCACACCACTAGGTGATTGTGGCACTGTAAACACAGCATGCTTTCTCCCAGAAGTAGCAGAGCTGTGTATCACCACAGGCGTGATGGTAAATACCTGATCTGGAATCAGGGTTTGCTGAGCCCCTGGGAGCACGGTGCCTATGGATAGCTGGGCTGGCTTTTCCTGCCTCTTGCCAAGGGTCTTGCCCTACAAGGCCTCTAGCCTTTCCCTGTGTTTCAGTGGAAAAGGAGTCTATGCAGCTATTCCCAGAAGGTAGGTTATTCAGTGCTTTAAAATATTGGTGGTTCTCTGTTTCAGTGCTACTGTGGACTTAACTTATGAAGGCAGATGGGAGTGCTGAGCTGGAGTTGCCAGCACGCTGGAAAACTTGATGCATAAGATCAACAGTTTCCTCAGATCAAAAAGTCTTTTTTGTTTTTAAAAAGAAGAGTAGGCAATAGATGACTCAACAGCAGCAGACCTTAGGCCAAGGAGTTGTCTCTGGAAAAGGCAAATGGCTCAAATTGCTTTGTAACAGATTTCTTGATTTATAATCTCTCATCCTTTTGTTTGTTTGTTTGTTTCCATTTTTGCAGACATTTGTGTTTTCACTGGTGTTCTCCAAATCACAGATGTTTTGGGTGAGCTAATCATTGCGATAGAACTGTATCACTGTATCCATCCTTTTTTTTTTTTTTTTTTTTTTTTGCAGAGGACCTGTAGCTTTGGAGGATTTGACTTGACAAATCGTTCCCTTCATATTGGAAACAGTTCTGACCAAATGGTGAGTTTAAGTCAAGAAGGCACAGACTTGAAATAGCATAAAATGAAATGTGCAATAGAGTTATAATAGACTGGAGTGTAATTTAGGTCTGTAATAACAGTTTGGGGATCCAACAAAGCAGAGCATCTCCGTTAACCTCAGTCTTCTTAGCTTTGAGAATAACATATCCACCCATATCCATGTGTGTATAAGTATTTATATACCGTATGTGTAAAGAGGCAGGAACAAGTGATCAAAGCGGAGATCTGGGGGCACATCTGTGGGCTATTCTTATGTCTGACTTCCTCAGAGCATCACCCCGGGCAAAACATATGATTACTATACTTTCTCCGTAAAAATATTTACTATTTGGAATGATGAGGTGAATTTTCATTCGCTGAAGATTTGCAAGTTATTTGGGTGGAAGTCATTATGCAAGAGATTTATTATTTGTTTTCTCATTGTATCTAAGAGCTCTGGAATAGACCAGGATCCCATTGTGCTGGGTGCTGCGCAATTGATCTCAGAGCTCTTTGTGTTTAAAAAAAAAACACAACCAAAAAAACCTTCTCTCCTGAGAATTAATTCCATTTTATGTTACTCATGTTGATCCCAGTGTTACTGTTGGTGAGTCTGCAGCCAAAAATAACAGAACAGAAACAAGCCAGAACTTTATATCAAATGAAATTGCCAGCATATTTTTTCCTTTTGCCCCATATATGTTTTTCTTTTCTGTTTCAGCATTGGCTCTGATAACTTCTCTGTACACTTAAATCAAGTCTAAATTGCGAAACATTTTATATGCCAGCGGTGCTGGGAGATATGGTTTAGTGATGATGCTCCTTGTTTGTTGTGTGGGTGACTATTTTTGTCAGTTAGGTTGACGGTTGGACAAGATTATCTTTAAGGTCCCTTCCAACCTAGAAGATTCTGTGATTCTGTGATTATAGTTGGTTTTTTTTATGTCAGCTGGGTTTTGGGGGTTGTTTTGGTTTTCTATTTGTTTTTTGTTTTTGTTTTTTTTTAACATTATAAATTATCCCTAAATTGGCCAAAACTGTGGGTGGTTATTTCACTCATCAATTTTCAACACAGTAAAAAAGTTGACTTCCAAACTTACAGTGTTTATCTTTAAACACAGATACTTTGGCACATTTTGTTCAGATTGGTTCTGATAAAGGGAAGTGTGAAATCTAGATGCTGTATTTTCCCTATGAGCATCAGTAGTGGGACAGATAAGTTAGCTAGAATAATGCGTGCACATCAAACTTTTATGTAGAGTATAGTGTACACTTGTTTTAGGATCTGTTATCTTACGTACCTAAATTTGGCCAAACAGATTTTGGTCCTTTTTGTGTTGTGATTTTTGTGCATCCTTGCCAATGGAGGGTGCTGGGAGTAGCCCTGACAGAGCGGTCTTGCTGTGGTTCCTGACACACTGTAGAAGAAAAGACCATGTTTAACGTCCTGCCTGGGCAATCTGAGTAAGGGCTGAGTCATACGAGTAAATTTGGCAAAATGTCAGCTCATCCACGTTCATCCTCTGTGTGCGCTTGTGGCATGAGTAAATGCCAGGTATCTTAAGCTGGTTTAGAAAAGGTTAAATGTGTTCAAAGCAGCTGGCCCTTGGCATCCACTATATATGGACCAGCTAATTTAGTTCGGCAGTACCCTGTTGTGTGTCTTAAGAATAGCTGTGCAAGTGTAACCTTCTACCTTTGTTGATGAATTTAGTAGCGCTTTTTTGGCGTTTTTTTTATAAACAGTCCACAGTAAAACCACAGAGATGGTCATCAAGAGACGTTAACTGAATGCCTGTCTGAAAATAAAAAGTAAATTTGGGTAGCCAAATGTGGGTATATGTATATATATACACACAAACACACAGACCTATTTGGTTAGGATCTCAGAGGTACCTTTCCTCCTGCTCAGCTCTATGTAGCATTGACCAACACGAGCCACAACTACTGTTGTATGTCCTGGCAGGAGGGCTTAGCCTGAAACCATGGAGTTTTCTATCAGGTCAAACACCTGAAACTCAAAGGGATAAAGGCACCCTAACAGACCCCACCACCTCTACACACAGTACCTGCACTAAAGGTAACAAATCAGGCCTTGGGAGTAAGGTACAGGAGCAGGGACTGCTACGGTGGTTTGCACGAGGTGTCAACAGTGAATTTAGAGCAGCAAAGGGGACACCATGCTGCTGTCCTGTGTCTGTCTGGGTACCTCTGCGATGACTGCTGACCGAGGAAACAAATGGAACTCGCTCTTGTATTTTATAGGCTTAAACCCTGTTTTATTTTGCAGGGCAAAGAAGGAGACTTTGTTTATAAGGAAGTGATCAAATCACCCTCTGCCTCCCGTATATCTCTGGGCAAAAAGGTGAAGTCTGTAAAAGAAACCATGAAGAAAAGGATGTCTAAAAAATACAGCAGCTCTCTGTCTGAGCAGGTATGTAAGGTCTGCAGTGGAATCCGCTTAATAGTGTAGAAGTGATAATCAATATTGATTTCCATGCTTCAAGGCATCTCTGAAGAAATTTCTAACAAGGCTATCTGGTGTGGCTTATTTCTGTGTTCTTATAAAATCCCTCACTGTGAAATGGCTTCCTATAGATGCCAAACCATGAAAATGCATTTTCAGATTTTCATTCAGGTAGCTCATGGGCAGAAGCCTGTGGCTGATGGCATCACACATCTCTTGCTCTCTATTTCCATTTCTTTAGCTATCTTCATTATTTATTAAGGGAACCAGTCTGTGACACAGGGTCACAGTAATATATTTAATCTGCAATTTACACCTTAGTTTAAATTCCCAGCATAACTTCAGATACACAGTTCCTCTCTGCTATTAGAGATCTTTTCTCCATCATAGCTTGCCCTCCGCAGCAGCCCATTAAGGCAGACGCACAATGTAGTCAGAAAGGGGCATCCCACAGAAGATTTTCCTATTATTCTTTCATTACAGATTTTTATAGCTTATTCTTAAAGGCAAACCTGAAGTACATTAACTGTAAATTAGGCTTTGAATTTCAGTGGCCTAGGAACAATTGCTGTCTTTTTCCCTTCTGGTATATGTTGAGTTCCTTGCTTTGGTGGAGTGTCAAAAAATTTTCGGCATTTGTTTAAAAGCAATCTGGCCTCTTGAAAGGGCTCGGAAAGGCGGCGGGAGAGCAGAGCTCTCTCTGGCTCACATCGCCCCCAAGTGGCTTGTGCCGGCTTTGCAACGTTAGAATCCCTTACCTGGAGGACTGGTAGCCATGCTTATTCATAACCAGGGGTTACAATTACAGTTATTTAAATCTACAATTAAAACATTTTAAGGTCTAACATGATTTGATATTGATAAGAAGGTGCTTTGGTGTCTGGCTGGCCTTACAGTGCCCCTCTGCAAAGCCTGCCTAAGAAAAGGGATACCTTGGGAAATTGCTTTCCAGTGCATTAGCAATACTTCTGCTCTCTAGCTCTCTCCAAGATTGACTTGACCTCTGAAGTCACATTGTTGGGATGACATTTTTTCTGATGATCCTGCAGCATTCAAATAATAGGTTTCACCTAAAAGTTTTATGACTGCACATCTCCACAAAAACTCTTCCTGTGTGCAAGCTACAGTTCTTCTGTTTTCAAACCTTTTGGCACAGTAGTTTTAGAATATTTGCACCTTTCTGGCATCATGACTCAAACTATATGCCAATATCTCTTTCTGCATTCAGAAAAACAAGCAAAAGCTATTCTGGCCACAAGTATTCACTGCTTTGCATTAACTGTGCTTCACAGAACCTGACAGAATTTCAATTTAGGAAAGACCTTTTTTTGATTTTCTATAATGCCTGACTAAATGAAAAGAGATGCTGCCTCACCTATTGCACATGTAGCAAAATCTTTTTTAGACTTGTGCATTTATGTTTAGGAGTACTTATACTATGCACAGGCTGCATTTTCTGGTTAATTGTTTTTTTTTTTTTCAAGGTAAAAGAGCAAAGATGTCAACAATTCACTGAAAAAGAAAATGTACATCGCTGTATGTCTGATGTGCATTGTCTGATTTACTTGTATTCATCTTTGTACAAAATCCTAATTCAGAAAGCTGAATTTGGTGTTAGCTGTTCTGCAAGTTACTGCTGGCAAAAATATCATGTGTCATTAAAACCTCTGAATTGGGAGTTTTGTGCAACGTTTCTTTCTTCTTACAATGCTGGCTGTCAGTGCCTGTGTTCGTTTACCAGACTGAAATGGTTCAATCCCTTTCAGGAGTCCAGCCCTGGGGTCATGCCAGGTTCTCCGCAGTCACCGCCGCCAGACACTGACTCCCTGGACAAACCCAAGCTGAAAGCTGGTGGCTCAGTAGAGAGCCTGAGGAGTTCCTTAAGCGGCCAGAGCTCAATGAGTAAGTTCAGTTGTAATTGCCTTGCTTCATTTCTGTGGCTTCAGGGAGCAGAGATCTCCACAGTAAGCAGAATCAGAAAAAGTCAAAGCAGAAGCAGTGGTTAAAAAGTAGAAAGGCTGATGGGTTAGTCATTGAGGAATTACAAAGAACAGCAAGCTCGTTGGTGCAGAGACAATCTTTTTTTGCTTTGTATTTATACAGAGCCCTGAAAAAGTGAAATCCTGCTTTCTGGCTGGGTCTGCTGGGTGCTGCTATTACAATATAAATGATTGGAATGAGAATTACAATCTTTAGCCAGTAGTAAACAGGCTCATCTTTACACTAGATTTCTCCTGAGCACTCCTGATAGGCTTCCTACCCACCCCGCTCCAGAGAGACCTTGAGGTTTTCTCATTAGCTAGTTAGAGGGGTGTTACTTAAAACCTCTCTGGCTAAGATTGTCTCTGTACAAAACAGAGCTTAAGTGGAATACAGATGGTGTGAACTTGTTCCACTATGAATTACTGGCCAAGAGAAACCAAGAACATATTGGGGACAAAAAAAAGAAGAGAAAACTTGATTTCTGAAAAAATGAAAGTGTGTTCAGAAAATCATCCCTTTTTTTTTTTTTTTGGTGTAACACCAATGCAAAGCATTGCCATAAAACCAAATTTCTGGACATGAGGGGCATTCTGGAACCCTCATGCAGGATTCAGAGCTTATCTCCCTTACACTACTATGCTTTTTTTGTGGGCAAAACTTGCCAGAAAGATGACATCTTCTGTGTTTTACCATAGATGAGACACTAGTCAAACAACTTCTCAGTTGACTATTGAGGAGCTAAATTTAGGAAAACGGGAGTGCAAAGAAGATTAACTCCCCATCACACGTGTTTATAAGAAATAGCAGCATTTAAGGACTTTTAACTTTGATTATCATGGTTTGTAGAAAGACCCATTTTCTGTCTTGCTTCTGTTTGTTTCTGAACCTTCTTCACAAAGAGATTCTTTTTTGTGGACTGACACAATGACTCTCACACAGGCGGTCAGACGGTGAGCACAACAGATTCCTCAACCAGCAACAGGGAGAGCGTGAAATCAGAAGATGGTGACGATGAAGAGCCTCCTTACAGAGGACCTTTTTGTGGAAGAGCCAGGGTTCACACTGATTTTACTCCAAGTCCTTATGATACAGACTCTCTGAAGCTCAAGGTATCAGCTATATCTGTTTTTAATGGGTCAAATATTTAGTTTGGCAAAATTATTAATTAAGAGCTTTACAAGCACTGTACACTTCTTAGTGTTCTAATGAGTTTACATGTGTTTTTAAGCCCTCTAACCTATCTTACTCTGATAAGAATCAAGATTTGCTTGAATTACACAAGAATGTTATATAATGTAAGTAAGAGTATTTCTTCGCATCCAGAGAAAGACATTTCCATCTTTAGTTTCTGGAAAATAAAAAATGTCCCACGAATTCATTTCCATTTTGCAAGGATTTGTTTGAAGGATTGGAAAAATACTTTTTCTGCCACAATGAATTAATCCATCATTGGAAAACCTTTCAAAATCCTTGGAAGAAATATGAATACGCCTACACATAGTGTTTCTTAAAGGGATTTCAGTTAATATAACTTGTTTTGAGTTAATATTGAAATACTTTGCAAACTTTGAGTTCTCACCTCCTTTAATGTTTTCTGGATATCAGCTTTTATTATTTTCAATTGTGTCATATTCAGTTCAAACTATCTTACTCCTTACATTCATTACTTAAAATTCTGAGGGCAGCTAATTCCTACTAAAGCAGATGTACGTAAGAGAATCTCTTTAAGGATAGAAAAGCAGTTGTGCATTATTTCTTTGTTATGGTCAGGAGCACATCAGGAAAATCAACACTGTTGCATGGTTCCTTCTGCATATACCTTGTTTCCTCAGGAGATTTGATGTGAGATTGTGCCTGTATCCACGGAACGTGTTCTTATTTGCAGCAATTTCGGATAGTTGCACAGCTTAGAGACATTTGTACACAGCAGCAGTGTTTGCTTGAATATCCATCATCCATGTCTACATGCCTTTTTACCTTCTTTGGTCTGCAGAAAGGTGACATCATTGATATTATCAGCAAACCCCCTATGGGCACTTGGATGGGCCTGTTGAACAACAAAGTTGGCACTTTCAAATTTATCTACGTGGACGTGTTAAATGAAGAGGAAGAGAAGCCAAAGCGGCCCACCAGGAGACGCCGGAAAAGCAGACCACCCCAGCCCAAGTCAGTTGAGGATCTCTTGGATCGCATCAACTTAAAGGTCCAAATTCTCTTTTTGTTTACCCGTCATTTTTCCTTTTGGGAAGGGGGCCACACCTTTGGAGTTATTAGTTTTGAAAGCTGCACACCAGATTCATAGTCCTGAGGATCGTGACATCACTTAGCAGAATCGAGTCTTGGCTGCAGAGTGAAAATGGCTGAGGCCAGGCAGAACTGACTGCCAGGCTTGATGAAGTGCTGCAGGCTGCAAGCAGTATGCATTCGGAGGTTGTACTTGGTTGCATAGTATGGCTGCTAGCTAACACACTTCAAAAGCAAGCAAAAAGTGTAAAATAACAGTTACCCTCTCTTGAAAGAGGAAGTTTTTCACCTCGTTTCTGTTCAGAAGAGCCTAGGGTTAAAGAAACACAGCTGCCATGCAGCCTTTGTACCTCTCCCTTCGTACAGAGCTGTGCCATATTGTGATATTGTGTGTTGGGCTAACATGCTACCCAGGCCATTTCATACACTGCATTCCAAATACAAAAATATGTGCAGCATTCTACTTCTGGCACAGCTACCTCCCTGTACTCTGAGCAATGTTTATACAAGCTATGATCCTATAATTTTGCTGTTATACAGTGGTTTGCATTTGCTAAACTACTGCTTTTTTTCTGCTGGTTGTGAAAATCTCTTCCAGTATCTTTATTGACAAAATAAGTTGAATAAATGTGATGCCTTACGGCTCTTCTTTTTTTTTTCTTTTATGCAGGAGCACATGCCCACTTTTCTGTTCAACGGTTATGAAGATCTGGATACCTTTAAGCTTTTAGAAGAAGAAGATTTGGATGAACTGAACATCAGAGATCCTGAGCACAGAGCTGTTCTCCTCACAGCAGTGGAACTTCTACAGGAGTATGATAGTACGTGGGATGTTTGAGGTTTTCAGTTTTACTAGAGCTCTGCCAAGAACCTTGTGAACCCCTTAAACCAGAGAACTGGTTCCAGGATTTTGATCTTTTTCCCTAATCTAGTTATTTCCAGAGTAATCCTGTGTAACAACATGTAGATTTTTGAGGAGTGACTTAGGACTTGCATTTATTCTGCCAGAATTTTTTTGTTCATGTAAGCCCAGCTACCCATCTTATTCAAGTGATGTCAAGCATATAACACATACCCTTTAGAACACTGATGTTCAGGAATAAATCCTGAGGTAACCTACTCAGAATAAGAAGTTGAGGTGTGGAGAACAGGAAACAAGAAACTTGGGAGACTAGAAGGAAGAGATTAAGGTCATCAAGGATAAGGAAAAGTAAAAAGACCAGAGCCCTGAGGAGTGTGGGGAAGGGTAATGTGAATTAAATATGCATATAATTCTTGGCCTGTGAATTGCAGTGTTGCACAGGTAGCTTCAGGTTGGGCACTTGACAACACAGCAATTTTCAAAGGGCGAAAATATATCAGTCAAATGCAAAGAGTGAAAGACAGTGACCCAGCTATCGAAGGCGCGGCAGTGCGACTCTGCCCGTTGCACAGATGGTCTCAGGCAAGTGGTTGCAAAGATGAGGGAAAGCAGAGTAAGCCACGGCAGTCAGATTTGATAGTGGCTTTGCTGCACAGGAGGAAGCGAGACTCGGTTACCTTCTACATAGTAGCCATGGTAAAGTAGAACCATTTGAAAAGCAAATGTAGCTTGAGACAGGAATTGAGATGCGCTCAATACCTAGTTGCAGCAGCCTAGGACAGTACTGAATTTCCCCTCCGTCCCTAAGTGTCAGCAGAAGTTTAGTGTCCCACTAAGCAGAATCAATGGAATGGATTGCGTGAGGGCTTTCTCAGCAGCTTCTGTGCAAATTCCTATGTTTTAGCTTAAACTGCCATATCAGCAATTTAAACACCTGCTTATTAAGTAGGCAATGCTTAATTCTGTTATATAGAGATGTGTGGTTAGTATCTCTAGACAGTGCGGTGTGGCCTGAGCTTTCACTGACACGTAGCTTTCTTGTTCATTTCATTTCCCAGAGGCATCCACATTTCTCTGTCCTCCTCTACCCCTCAATAAAACTGCAGTTGCAGAAATAGATTCTTTTCACTTATATCAGAATAGCTTTCCATCACCTAATGTAAGCTTCTCTTCATTATTTGCAGACCTATTTAGAATGTTCGCTTCCCTGAAGTAATAATTTTTTTTAGGGCCTTTCAATTTTGGTTTGAAAACCTGAAGAACTATGTGATGTGGTGGTTGAAAAGTATAAATTGTAGCTTCAAGGCAGGGAGATGAGGAGAAAGAGAAGCACGGACCAGACAGCTGTAACCTGGGAGGGGCAATAGCACTTAGTTCCACCCCATAATTACCTTCCATGTGCTGAGAATAGGAATGGGAATAGCCATTTTTGACATTTTATGGCAGGGGAAAAAAAAAACAACATAAACTGTATACTTGCATCATGAAGCTGGTTTTCTCTATCTTCAGCTTCAGATTTCTTTACAAAATATGATTTCTGACCAAACATTCTGGGTGAATTGCTGGAATCCAGCCTATGCAGTCTGCACGGACCACACTTGAGTGTTGGCTTTTTGCACAAACCAAGGAAGGAAGGAATTTTTACCACTAATCTCTCCCTTGTCCTTTCGTTAGGGGACAGCATCTAACTTTGCCAGACCCACTCCTGATCCTTCCTCTTGGTCCTTTCTGTAAAGTAGGTCAGGATTAGGATTATTTTTTTTTGTTACTTGATTTGGTTCTTTTCAGCGCCTTTTGCCTTTGTTTTGGGTGCTGGAGTTTTTTTTAAGTCTTAGAAAGAACTTTGACACCATCATTTTAAATAGATTCCATGGTTGTAAGTTGCAGGACTTGGCCCTAAGGCAGCTGAGGCACACACACAATCCATTCTGCTTCCATTATGTACCACGCTGCTCCCCCATATTCGTGCTGAGGCTGTTGTTTAATCTTTTACCAAATGAGATGAATGTTTCCAATATTTGTGATGGCTGTTCCTAATGCTCCATCTTTTCTAAAAGAGTGATCCGATACAGTTAATGCAACAGTGAAGATCAGAGAATCATAGAATTGTTTAGGTTGGGAAAGACCTTTAAGATCATCAAGTCCAACCGCTAACCTAGCACTGCCGAGTCCACCACTAAACCATGTCCCTAAGCACCACAGCTCCATGTCTTTTAAATACGTCCGGAGATGGTGACTCAATCACTTCCCTGGGTAGCCTGTTGTAATGCTTGACAGCCCTTTCATTGAGGAAATTTGTCCTAATACCCAATCTAAACTCCCCCTGGCTCATTTTGAGGCCATTTCCTCTTGTTCTATCACTTGTTACCTGGGAGAAGAGACCGACCCCCACCTCCCTACACTCTCCTGTCAGGTAGTTGTAGAGAGCGATATGGTCTCCCCTCAGCCTCCTTTTCTTCAAGCTAAACAACCCCAGTTCCCCCTGTCATAAGGCTTGGGCTCTAGACCCTTCACCAGCTTCGTTGCCTGCTTTGGACACGCAAGATAATGGTGTTGGAAATGGAATCAGTCAGATTTTCTGTTTGCCTGTTTTTCACTGTTTTCTCACATCCTCTAGGTAACAGCGACCAGTCAGGATCTCAGGAGAAACTTCTCATTGAAGGCCAAGGCCTAACCGGATGCTCTCCTCGGGATTCTGGCTGCTATGAAAGCAGTGAAAACCTGGAGAATGGTAATGGTGACAGCAATGAGCCTTATAATCCCTGCATCCTTTTTTTCAGTACATAACTTCATATACTTTCTGCTCCTGTTCCTGGCTAACACAAGCTACTTCATATTTGACTTTCTCCTTTGCTCTGACTGTCTCTTTCCCTCCTGTCTTGAGCCATTGGTTTTCATTGCTACTGTTTCTAATTTATTTATTTGCATGGGTAGGAAACAGATCACAATTTGCAAATTATCTTGATTTTGTGGTCCTAAGGCAACAGGCACTCTTGCTGCCATTCCCTGCCTTCTCCACACCCTATCATGTTCTCATGCAACCGTGCCTTATGAGGCTTGCACTGGTTATGCTCCAACAATCCACGTCTAAGGGACCACTGGCAATGGAGAAGTCACTGAACTCCACTGAGATGAGGAGGGTTTCTACTAAACCCATACAAAAACTGTTTAGAAAAAATGTTCTCTGTTGTAGGCCGTATTTTGGGGTTTGCTTAAGTTGTATGTTGCATTCTCCTCCAATCAGAAGCCAACTGCAGAGATTTAGGACTTTTTAGTGTATGAACACTACCAACTTAAATTAATTGAAAAGTTGGCAAGGAAATAAGCTATGAAAAAAACATGTATGATACCAATTTTCATTACCTTATCTTGCATCGGTAAAGGTGATACAATGAAAAATTACCAGGACAGTTGATAATAGAGATTCCTCTCTCTGTTCTGAAGAAATCAGGTGATTGTGCTGACTGAGCATCCTTTACTTGAGGCATGGTGTAAACTTGTCATTAGGGATGAAATATTAAAATAGATGAAATTGGTTTGAGCTTGGCATTATCACTCCAAGCATTTGAGTCATGGCGTGGCCTCAGACTGCCTGGTTTCATTGCTAACATCCAGCATAAACAGGAAACCAAGAACAGAATAAATATAGATACTGTACACCCCTTGTAGAGGCTGTTTTTCCAATTTAAAATATGAGCTAGATTTTTCTCTCAGTATGCGCATTTTCTTTTGGTCTGCCACTCAGAAATAGCCCTTTATTGAAGAAAATTGCAATTTGCTTTGAAGCTGAATGTCTGAAATCGGCAATATACTGAATTCCTGAAAGCAGAGAGAATTTTTTCTTGAAGATGAATCTCCACGCAGTATGCATGCTGGAATATAATCATGGCTAAATATATGGCACATGTGACAATTTTCTGTCTTTTTTATCTCTAAGTGCCATCATAATAATAGCTGTAGCACTGAGGCTAAATTGCTGCCTGTACGTTTTCCTAATTTTAACAATATAATAAAATCTCTAGAAAGCAATTGTCATTGCCTGTCTGCTTAGATACTTACTATTACATTTAAACTAATATTTCTATCTTGAGTTTTGCAGAATGTGAAATATCACTGATTATTTTCAAATTGCTTTTCATGTACGGCTTGCTGCATTTCTGCATTGTTTTTGCTCACAAATGCATTTAGCGCTAGTTTTGAAAACCATTATGAAAAGAATATTTGGTATGGGATTCATTGAGAGATTTTGTCAAGGCTGGTTAATCTGAAACGTGCTCCATCTTCTTTGCAAAGCTCATGGACCATAGTTGTTCACATGCATATTGTTTTCGAAACACCTTGGATTCTCATCTGTTAAAATAAGGATAATCGTTTGTCTAGTGTAAACATCATAAGGTGCAGATCAGCCATAATAAACTGGACTTCAAAAAGGGGAAATGCATTCTGAGAAGAAATTGGTCTTCAGATTTTCTGGGTAATGGTCACAGGTAATATTCTGATGACTAGTATAATATCCTGGTTTGGGCTGATATTGTACCTTTCGGCATCAGTTCAGGATTGCATTTGTCTAGAAAATGGTTTGCTATGGGCTATGGTAGTGGTATAGATGTATCTTTTATAGGTACTTCTCAGGGTCCCACTGCAGAAATATTTGGGTATTCTCATAGGTATCCACAATGTACTTACAGCAGCATCATGTTTTTATTCCAATTTATAGAGAGCAAGGAACATACAGTTTGTGACCTATTCAGTGCTAGGCAGGAGGAGTGTAAGAGCAGAAAGCGACCATCCATGATCAGACCACTACTCCATAGAGTCCAGTCCTTGGTTTGAAAGAAGGCAGAGCAAGCAAGCTCTCCTTTGGACTTCTGCCAACAGTGCAGTTACTGGACTTGCTTTGTGTGCAAGTGTCGTCTGTCTGAGACGCGTTTGGAAACCGTATCGGAAATCTAGGTCTCACAGGACTGCCAAAAGCAGATAGCTAGAGAACAGGATAGCAACAGAGCAAGCATAGTTGATGCTTCCCAGGGTACTCCTGGGGAATGAATCATTTAAGGACTTCAGAAATTGGGTACTGTTTCCTGGCATTCATCCATTTTCCTGAAACTCTTTCTCTTCATGAGCATCCCTGGTCTTCCTTAGAACCTCAATGTGTAACAGTGTCTGTGTTATAAACATCTGTCATAGTCCTCCCAAGTCATCTCTTTTGTTGTCTGAGAAGGCCTGTTAATTATTCCTTACAGGTCATTTATGTCCCTGATCATGCCTGCCTTCTTTGAACCTTTTATTGTTGCGCTGTATAGCTTTTTTAAGGAGAGAGGGGATGTGAAGGGATCAGAATTGCGTATGCAATGTGCAGAGCTGAAGAAGCAGACAAACCATGGCTTTATCAGGTGGGATAAGGGTGTTCTCTGAATTGTTCAGAAACTGAAGCCCAGACTTCCATACTGCCAAGCAGGCCTCCTAAGCACTTAAGTCGTCAGTTCTACTTAGTCAGAAAAGGAAGCAACAGAAATGTGGCCACATTGCCTCATGTCATGTGCATTTCTACTAGTTCATAATCAGTCAAAAAAGCAATGAGGCTGGGATTGTCTACTGCACCATCATCTTTGTGGTGGCATCAGAGCTATTTGAAATGCACTCAAAATATGGCCAGAGAAAGCAATGCCAAAGTGAAGTTAATAGGGTCTGGATAGGCCACTGAATGCATTCTGTCTCTGGTTTTGAGTATGATCTTCCGTATAGGAAAAAAAAAGGTACTAAGAGAAACACTGAAAATGTGTTGCTGTAGCTCTGGAAATATTCCCCAAGAATAATCTCCTTTCTTCTCAGGCAGGTGATGACAGGGAATTGAAAAGTTCCTTCTCTCTATTCTAGTAACAAGAAGTATCATGAGAGGTGGACAGTGCTTTTTCTAGCAAAAACTGCACCATAACATTAAACAAAAGAGTTAAAGTATGTCTGTAGCTGGAACTGAACCTGGAAACAATATGAACTTTCCATTTCTTTTGTGCAAGGACCAGCTTTGTTGTCTTGGTTATCACCCAGATACCTGTGTCCTTCTGCACACATTTAAATCAGAGATGCTGCTGTGGTTGATAGCACTGTGAAAGACATTAGGCTGCTAAACTGTACCAGGGAATCATAAGAATGAATTATCAAAAATGCTAACATTAAAAAAAATATGTTTTAAACCCTATTAGGTATGCACTTTAACCCTTATAGGGTTTGTTTATTTGGTTTTGGTTTTGTTTGGGTGTTTTTTTTTTCTGAGATAGGGAAGGAATGTTACATCTGTCGACATTGTTTATATAGCTCTCCGCTTTATGAAAACAACTTAAAAACATATTTAAAAGTCTGCTTTCAGGAAATATTACCTTTTTTTTAATGTCTAAGAATCATAATGAAGTTACACCTGGCAGTCAGGAGGAGGGAAGGAATAGGAATAGCTAGAAAAAGAGAAAGCACAGCTGCCCTCCTGATCTTGCTCGACTTAAATCTATGTAAGAGAAATTACATTCTGAACCCCTGTCCTTTGTACAAAATGACAACATTGTACCCAGCACTTTTTTCAAACCATTTTGAAGCAGGGAGCTTAAAGATTGCTTGTTCAGTTATATATTTTATAGACAAAATGTTTTGAACTTCCTCCAAGTCTCTCCACATTTGTATTTTTTGCAGAACAAGGCTGGAATGAACTCAAGATTTGATGTTACTTTCCCAAAATTTTTCTTTGCTCATTTTTCTTGCTTTTTTTTCCCTTCCTTTTCCTATTCCTCCTTTCTTCTTTTTTTCCATTCCCAGGCTACTGGCTTTACATATAGATATCCCATTTCTAAAGAATGAAATGTTGTCTACTAGATACCCTTATGGCCTTAGTAGGAGCTTATACTGCACAGTAGTAGCATTTCTCATGGATTTTCTTTCAGCGTAGAGGTTCCTGAGTGTGCTTTCCTAAAGCCAGTATAACCGCTGATCAATATTTCAGATTGAAGGAAGGTACATGGATTTTGTTGGGTGAGCTGTGACAGCAAGCCCCAGACCATGTTGTGAATTACTGCCCAAGTCAGATGTGTACTAGCAAATATGAATAATGAAAAGAGAACACTCCTTTCCATACTCATTACATATTGACAGTAATGCCTGAAGGCACTAAAAAATGGATGTAACATTTCTTACATGTCTTTTTAATGTGGTTGTAAGTTATTTTCAGAAGCCGGGGGCTTAGCTCATGGAAAGGTGCAGGCAGAGAAATCTTTCTGCTACTGCTCCGAGCTACCTGAACTCAAGTTAGTAGCAAGGGAACCAACTTAATCTCTGATGTGTCTTTATTAGCATTTTGAAGAAATGGTAATACTTAGTTTGAGCTGATCTGTGAACCATACAGCTTCTGAGAAAGGAGTTCCTCTAATGCTTGCTTTCATCCCTGTAGGCATGCCTTGGTTTTAGATAGAGTAACCTTGCTGGCATACCACTAAACGCAACCAACTTTTTTTGAGGAGAATGTTTTCCTTATTTCTCTTTAAATGTAACCTCCATTTTCTTTGCTACTTTTCTGGACACTTTCTTTTTTTAAACTTTTTTAAGCAGAGAAAGAGAGAAAACAAGCTATTTCTGTTTTAGGCTAACCAGGTTCATTCATATTCAAAGCGAGCAGTGTATATTATTCAAAAGCCAAGCACTGAGCTGCTTTCAGGATAAAGCTTTGAAGGCTGTATGAGAAGAAAGAATCTGTTGCTTAAAACTACACCAGATTAATCTAGTTCCAATGAAGTTAGGAAAAAACCTCAGATCTCTAAAAGTAACTGGTCATTTAATTGGGGGCTATTGGTTGCCTATTATTACAGACTTTTTGATACCATTTAGGCAAATCTGTTGGTTTGGGGGTTTTGGGTTTGTTTTGGTTTTGTTTTCCCCACTGGAAAAATAAATTTTGGGCTTTATCTATCTATCCTGATTTTAGAAAGCTTAACATACATGGGGAGAAGTATCCCTGTTACCTTGTTCAGGATGTTTCAGGACAAATTTACTTCTGTCTTGTTAAAAATAAAATAAAAAAAAGTCTATGCAGTATTTGAGAAATGACTGTGTATTTCATACTAATGAATAGTCTAATGAGCTTAGTCCTTTTGATCAGAATTTTTCTGTCAAGCAGATTTGATGGACTTCACTGTTTAAAATCAGTAGCGCATATCTCATAAAAATATAAAATAAAGCTTACAAAGAACATGTGGTTCATATAGATTCATGTCATCTTGTCTTAAGTGGTTATAATAAAATACCACATGTCTAAGACCTTCCACTTCAATAAAACACTGTGACATGAGAATAACACTAAGATTAGTCACACTTAAACTCCCTTTTGAAACACTTCTCCATCTCATAGTATAAGACCTTTTTCTGTAAAACTCTGCTGTCCCTAAAAGTAACTTTACAAAGGGACTGGTGCAAAACTGACATTCTGATACTTTTTTGCTCTCTGGTTTTGTCATTGCAAATAGTTTGTTGCTCATTTAAAAAAAATTAAATAACGCTATTAGCACACTTTGTAATTAAAATGAATAAACGGGATCTTTTTTGTAAAAAAAAATCTTTCCTGAGCAATTTAGTAAACTTCATTAGAAGGTGGACATAATTATTGATATCCTAAACAAATTAGAAAAGTAGAAAAAAAAAAAAAAAAAAATGAGGCTTTTGAGTTATTTCTGTGTGGGGTCAAACCAGTTTTCATGTAATGGGTATAGGGTCTCAGTTTTAATTGTAGGATATTTCTACACTGAAAAAGGCTTACATGAGCTAAACCTCAGATCTCTGCAAATTGGTGAGTAGGAAGGATATTAATATTTTAAATGTATTTTCCTTTTGTGGTCACACTAACCAGTTCTTTATTAATAAAGCTGAAGCACTCAAATTCATATGCTTAAAATGGCACTGAGTTTTTGTACATTTAGAGTTAACAAAAAGAGAGTAAATCCTTTTGTTTCAAAGACATTTAGGAGTGATCAGTTGAGTTGTTTACACTGCAGATTTTTTTATTATTTATTTTTAATGGTGGATTTTGATTTATTTGTTTTTAGGTAAAAATCGAAGGACCTGTCTTCTGCCCTCAAAATCAGCAAGTGAGCATAGCTTTAAGGACTTCAGCAGAAACCAGCTATCAAATTATCCTACCCTTCCACTGACCAAGTCGATAGAAACTATACAGCAAGGGGAAAAAGAAGGCCGGTTGAGTTGTGCCCATCGTGCTTTGAAGAGCTCTGTCAAACCTCCCGCTGCTACGGGCCTGAAGAAGAACCGTAGAAGTCTACCAGTTGCCGTCTGTCGGAGCTATGAAACTCTGGATGGCCCACAGGGTGTAGATACATGGCCAAGATCTCACTCTCTGGATGATCTCCAGGGAGAATCCAATACTAACCTACAGGACACTAGCAAGGAGGTAGGTTCTTTTCCTCAGGATTCACTGGATACAGCAAAAAAGACGACTGGCTCTGCCCTGCCGCCTCGGTCTCATGGAGGCAGCTGTATGGCAGATGACTTGATGGCTAAGCAGGGTAAAGGAGCTGCTAGTTCTCAGAAGGGAAGAGCTAAGGAATTGGACTTCTCTGTAATGGAGAATGCAGGTGGAAAGCCTGCTCCGTTCCCCCTGAAAAACTGTGAAGCTCAGCCTGCCTTAGTGATGCATCTTGCAACAAGGACGCCTCTGGAAATACAAAGTAAAGGCTTTCATGACCTCGCACGGGCTGATTATGCTCCAGTCCTCAAGGGAGGTCTGGAAGCTGAGCAAAAAGGCACAAATGAGGCAAGAATGCAACCAAAAAATCCTTCTCAGCCACCACCTGTCCCTGCCAAAAAATGCCGAGAACGCCTTTCTAATGGATTATATCATCCTCCCATGTCTGCGAGTGGGAACCACTCAAGTGTAGAAGCACCATGTTTGCCAGTAAAAAAGAGCAGCTCATCCACTCCCGTTGATTGTCACGGAGTATCTGTCCATAGGACGTCATCGGAACAGGAGGCAGGTACCCCTCCTAGCCCCCTGCCACCCTGGCTGTCTGAGCTGCCAGAGACTGCTAGTGTTCAGCAGCACGTGGTAAAGCTAGGTCCTGCCTCAGCGAGGAAAGTCTCGTGTAGCAGGGGAATGGATCTGGAGATGGTAATAGAAAACAAGTTGCAGTCTGAAGACATTGATCTTACTGAAGAACCATACTCTGACAAGGTAAGTAGAGGACACTGCTTCAACGTTTTTATTCTAGTCTTTCCAATAATAGCCTTTAATTTATCGTATCTGTTGTATTTTTGTGAGTAACCAGCCTAGATAAACCATAAATCATTGGGACATTAGACATTCTGTAACTATGTTTGTCTTTACTATCAGGCCTTATGCCTAAAGTAATTCTTATGTGGTGAGGGAACTGAGAAATCTCAGACTTGTTCTGAACCTTCATCTTTCGGGTCGCTAGTACCTTGTTGGGACTGGGCATGGAAATGTCTCTTTCTCTGCTAGGGTGGGGAGGTAGAGCTGAAAAAGGAAGTCATGATTAGATTTTATGCTTCCAAGAAAATTTAAATTGATAATAATAGTCACTAAGACATCTTTTGGGGAAGGAAGGAGTCCTGAAGTCCAGTCCTCCCTTTAGGGATTGCTTTTTCAGTTTTTCTTGAGATTTCAGTGGAATCTCAAGGAAATCTCCTTCTTGTCTCACCCTACACTTCTCTTTATGTTGGCATTGATTGAGCTGTATTGATACACTCCTTTCATCTATCCTCTCTCCTTTGTGTCTGGCTGGGAACATTCAGCATGGTCGCTGTGGCATTCCTGAGGCTTTGGTACAGAGGTACTCTGAAGACTTAGACCAGCCTGAAAAGGACGTTGCCACCAACATGGACCAAATCCGCGTAAAGCAGCTGAGGAAGCAGCATCGCATGGCAGTGAGTATTTCCATAAACAGCATTTCCTTATTTTTGAGCAGGCTTTTTAGAAGGACTGGGTGCTGGCAAAGGGAGATACCTGCAAAGTCCTGGTAAAGAAGCACTCCCTGTGTTCACCCAGCAGGTACAACGTAGGTAGAGGTACTTCAGGGGCAAGAGGTATCTCCCTCTGTCCCAAAGGAGGACAGCTAATAGTTGAAAGGAGAGCGGATAGCCCTCTCTCCTGACTGAAAAATAATCTTGAAAGTCTAAGCAGACTGCAGGCAGGGGTAATAGAGACTTGCTTACTAAACATGGCATGCTCTAAATGCTTCTGTAGTGAAATCTGAAAGGTTTTACACTCCTTTTTCATTTCTTAAACTATACTATTGTGCACTCATCCTCAGCAAAAGGAGGAGGGGAAAACCATCAAAAGCTTTCAGGGCTTTTTATATGAAAACTTGGTCTGTCTGAGGAGGCAACAGGCAAAATTGCTATTCTCTTCCCTTACTGAGAAATTAAATGGATCACCGTGGAAAGCCTTGTAACAGGGTATTTTTTACTGATCTCACGCTAATTTAGAATGACACATGATGGTCACCCAAGCAGCTGGATACTGCCCACTGCATCTGCATTGCCAAAATTGTTGCTGTTGCTCTTGTGCCAAGAGATCTTTGCCTTTCAACCCACACGGTGCTCATAGTGACAAATGTGACATGAGAGAAGTTGTAACAGCTGCTGTGGAATTTGACCAGTTTGGAAGGAAAAACAAAAGATGACTTGCTGTAAAACAAGCAGTTATGTTTAACATTAAGGGTTCTTTTCTTTCTTTTCTTTTTTAATACTGTACAGATTCCAAGTGGAGGGCTCACCGAAATTTGCCGAAAACCTGTATCCCCAGGACTTATCACCTCTGTATCTGACTGGCTGATTTCCATTGGTCTACCTATGTACTCCAGCCTGCTCACGGAAGCAGGATTCAGCACACTGAGCAAAGTGCCTTCTCTGTCACAAACTTGCCTTCAAGAAGCTGGCATCACAGAGGAAAGGCACATAAGCAAGCTCCTGGCAGCGGCAAGACTCTTCAAACCTCTTGATCCAGAGGCAATTTAACATGCTCCATAGTGTGGCATTGCCTGGTCGAGAATCCACCGCTTCTTCCTGCACCAATATTGCTCTAATTACTTCACATAGCTAAAGGGATCAAGGAACTGGCTCCCAAGGACAGGCAGATATCTTCTTCATAGGATATGAAATGTTTCTGTTGCTGTCTTTGGCAACTGAAGGAGAAGAGAAGCAACCACCAGGTAACACAGATGTGGTACTTCCCTCCCCCCTCACTCCCCTGTATTCTTATTTCATAAAGTGCACAGGGTTGGCCTGAGAATCGGACAGCTTCACAGAATTAAGGGACCCATGCACATTTTCCTCAAATTTGTGAAAATGCTAGTAATAAGCCCTGTTTCTATGGAGAGTTCATTAGGTTTGGGGGTCTTCTGTGCATCTAGGTTCCAGGTACCTGGAGTCAGCCCTAAAGACCAGGTACAAGCCAAGGTGCAAATTCCAGTAGCAGCTGTTTGGCAGATGCCTTTTGTTTATTTTAGCAGTCTGGAGCTGAACACAAACCTCCTGGTCATCCTCGCTGCTGCTCAGTACAGGTCCCCATACACCACAAAGCCTTTAGCTAGGCCAAAGTCAATGGACTGGAATTAGGTTTCAGTATGGTCCATCTCTGTCACTCCAATGCAACTAACCCGCGGAGAGTCAGAAAGCTTCTTTTTATTTGTACAGAGCTGAGGTCATTTTTATAACTGCTTTCTAGCAATCAGCTTTTTATTTGCCTTAAAATAAGCTTTGAAGCAGTTACCTAGTGTTCACTTACCCATATTCATGTTTCCCGAGCCTTGTTTCAAGCTGTCACCCTTAAGCTGCACTTAGGGTGATTTCCAGCTGAAGTAGCTTCTTTAAAATGCCTCATCATAACACCTTCTGTGTTGTAGAGATGCTTTTACAAATGCAGGGTTCTGCTAGGTTTCGGTTGTCAGGCTAACTTCTTGTTCACTACAGTCTGCATTTACTGTCGTTACTAAACTGTTCCAAGATATACTGCCTTGTATATATGTAACTGCTTTTCATTTAATCATATTCTGTGTACTGTGTTATATTGTCAATCATTATGCTGCAGCTTTGACTTGGTATCCTGACCAGATCGATTCCAAACGGTGGGTTTCTGCAAATGAAAATTCACTTGTGGGAGATAAAAAATGAAAATGAAATGCAAATGAAAATTCACTTGTGGGAGATAAAATGCATCGGAAAAGCAAATTGTGTCCCATAGACATCATCATCAGATTCAGTAATTCCATTGCATGGGTGAAAAAAATCCTATATAGTCTTATTAATTATACTGTGATTTTACCACAGTTGATATCCCTCCCTCATGGCTGTTAATGTTACCTCTCACTGGAAGAGAGCATTGTTCTGGCATATGTGGTGAACCATTTTTTCATGACGTAATGATATTTTTCTGCCTAAATCCATGTAAAATGTTCCATTCGCATACGTGGCTAATGACAGATTTTATTTTTCTATATGGGTACACATTTTATATACCAAATACAGATTATTCTGAATAGCACATAACTAGCTTTTTGTTTGGGGTCTATATATGGTGTGTCCTTCAGCTTCTTGTAGCGCAAATGCTCCATGGAAGACAGAGCAAGCTTTCTCTGGCAGGTGAAGGGAGATAGCGTAGAAACCTGGGCACAGGCCAGGACGTGTGGCTGTTTCCAGTGTCAGTTCTGACATCACCTCACTGTATAAAACCAGACAAGGCACTTCGCTGTTTGGTGCCTCAGTTATCCCAGCCTCATATCGAGCTAATGACACTTTTCCTGATAAATTGCTCTCAGATTGATGAATGAAAGAAAAATTGTGGTTACTGCATGATTCTTTACTATATATGGTCCTTTGACATCCATGTTTTAAGGCAGGTGAGCTATGCATTTTCCTACAGATGATAATTAATTTGGCTCCTGGTAGAATTGATAAATGTTAGGTACCGTCATGTGAAGGCAACTAAGTCACTGATGGAACTTGAAATTATTCTGAGGCAAAGCTCCTCTGGATCTGTTTCTGTAGTGTTCTCCTTGGTGTGTGGGTAATCAGCACGTTCTAATATGACAGCATCAGGAAACATACAGCATAGGTGTTTTGCACAGCTGGTGAATCTCTAAAAAGAGAAAAAAAAAAAAAAAACCCTAAGTGTCTTTTTAATAATGATGATTTGATGTTGTTCCTCTCTGAGGCTTACATGGTGACTCTCGGTAAGCAGGAGATGGAAAGAGTATCGAGACTTCCTGGGATTGCTGGCAGGGGCCAGAACTGAGTAGAAGTAAGTAGGCAGCAGCTACATTGGAGCGAGGAAAAAGTCCAAGCTGGCTATATGCAATAAAATAAAGGAAACAAATTTCCTTGTGTTGGAGGGAAGGCAAGTCACATAATAAAGCGCTTCCGTGTTAACTGCTTTCCCCTCCCTAACAGGAGAATAAGGGGAATAAGCTGAACCTGTGTGCCAAAAACTGTTTGTAAATCCATAATTTTTGAATGCTTACGTAGCCCAGGGAAACCAAAATCACACCCATCAGGACTAGAGTGAGTAGTTTGAGATTTGTGAGTTTTAATAATTGCTTTGTTTTTGTTTTTAAGACTGTGCTCTGTGGTCTTACTTGAATTACGATTTTAGTTTATATTTTAATCTGAAAAAGCCTTAAGCTTCCCAGCGTTTGAGCTTCCCTGCTGTGGTTCCAGTGGCCTGTGGCGTTCCCCGAGCAGGTGAGGCGGTGCGGTGTGAGAGCCATAACATCTTACATTCATTCTCTTGCAACCATTCGGTGCTCTACGCAAAAGTTCGCTCGTTAACTCTTGGGAAGCACGAAAGAAACCTGCTGCTGGAATCCTAATCTGCTCTGCTCAGGCTAATGATGTTAAGTATCTATCCATTGTACCGTTGTAACTCAAATCAGCTATTTAGCAATAGAAGCAGCAAGCCCATAATATTACTGAATGCCAGGGTAACCCTAGGCTTCGATCCATAACCCCCTGTTACTCCCCAGGTGGCAGCGACACCCGGAGTTCCCTCTGCTCCCTTAGGGGCCTGGCTTTGAATGCAGACTGGGAGCGTGATCCGAAGCATTAAACATTGCATTATTCAGACAGGCCATCATCTCTAAGAGCAGCAATAGTGGTCGATTCACCAAGTCACAGCTGTGCAGTTGTACTGTATTATTTTTAGAATAAATAATACTTTTGGTCCAAGATACTTTTATCTTTAATTGACACCCTCTGGGGAATCAAAACTGTCAAGCAAGTTATGTAACAACTAACAAAGTTGCACTTTCTGTATATGAAATCAATATTTAAATAACTTATTTTTCTCCATTTGCTGTTCTTAAATGATGTAAGTAGCTGTAATATACCAGTACTCAATATGTCCTGCAGTTTGCTTCAACCCAAGAAAGCTGTGTATTGTAAAGAAAAAAAAAAGAAAAAACAAAATATGAATGTGTAAAGATTATTGTGCTGTTTCATTTAGCAAAAAAAATGGTTGACAAAAGGGTTTTCCTGTGTATCAAAACTTGTCTATAATTATATGTCATACTGTTCATAGATAAAAAGTAAATAAATTTCCTTGGTCTCTCTCTTTTTTTGGTTGTTTTTAATGTAGCTAACAGATCTTCTCTTTATTGGTCTGGTGGCAGTCTCCAGCTTGTCCAGTAGTAGTTCACCTTGTAAGCACTCTCAACACCTACCTACAGCAGGAGAAAAAAGGTTAAAAAATAAAGAGATTTAAAGCCCTGACAATGCAGGACTTGAAGCAGCCCTCAAAATGTGATGGCATGGGATATGAATCCTCACTGTCCAAACTTTGTCTCTTACATCCCATGAACGTCCAGCTGCTGGGCTCAGGGAGATGCGTGCGAGAGGTCTCCCAGGTCTCCCCTTGGAGCTTTTCTTCTTTGCAACAGAATGATTAAAAGTTGGTGGAACCAGAGAAAGAGTATACGAGCATAATGCTCTGGAGTTGTAGTTACAGCTCTTGCCTGCAAGAAGGGATTTCAAACCTGCTTTTCAAATGCAGCTCCTCTTCGTTGGGCTGGCGAGATTCTCTCCTCATTCTGGAGAGGGTGGCTGTGACTCCTGAGCCGTCAGGTAATCTCTGCAGTCTGTAATAAGATGACAATGTCCAGGTTCTAGGGCACAGGAGCCTTAGGACATGACCCTCTTGGTGCTTCCTTCTGGTTCACTTGAGTGACTTCTTGCTTCGTGTTGCATTGGTTGGTCTAGTCAAATTTGCTGTGTAATTAATGGGTATGCTTGTCTACCTAACAGAGTGCTGGCAGGTCCACATGGCGGCAGTGCACCGTAGCTGGAGGTTAATCCTTTGTGGATGTAGCCCTAAGTAAGGAGGGTGGACTGTGTGCCTGCATTGGCTTTCGTTAACCAGAAGCTTAACTTTGGAAATGACATAAAGAAAAGCAAAAAAAAAAATAATCTATCGTTTGGGTTGGGTCCCGACAGCTGAATCTCCGGTTCCCCTCAGGCAACGCTCCCATCAGAACTGTACGACGTGGCAAACGGTTCGTGGGAATGAGGTAGCGTGTCCCATGTGAACTTTTTAATTTTTTTCTTCTATTAATATCTCCCGGTTCAGCTGAGGACCGGGCCGCTGCTGTGCGTGTGCGGCAGAGGGCACTGCTCTGCTGGCTGGAGGACAGCCCTCAGCCCGTCCCTGGGGGCCGCAGCTGGCTCCAACGCCGGCTGTTTCCAAGAGTCTCTCAAGTAACAAAACAGAAATAAAAACAAAACAAACACTGCACAACATGAAAAGCCCGAGCGCTTGCCATTTCTGCAGCTGGAAGGAGCGTTGCTTCCCTTCCAAGGCTGCCGTGGTCCAGCTGAAACACAAAGCCCCTGTCTATGGCTCTCGGCGTTTTGCTGGTGCGTTTGGTCCAAACGTGTGCTAACCACCACAGCCGTGCCAAAACCAGGCACCATCCCCCCACACACATACCAAAATGTGATGGCATGGGATATGAATCCTCACTGTCCAAACTTTGTCTCTTACATCCCATGAACGTCCAGCTGCTGGGCTCAGGGAGATGCGTGCGAGAGGTCTCCCAGGTCTCCCCTTGGAGCTTTTCTTCTTTGCAACAGAATGATTAAAAGTTGGTGGAACCAGAGAAAGAGTATACGAGCATAATGCTCTGGAGTTGTAGTTACAGCTCTTGCCTGCAAGAAGGGATTTCAAACCTGCTTTTCAAATGCAGCTCCTCTTCGTTGGGCTGGCGAGATTCTCTCCTCATTCTGGAGAGGGTGGCTGTGACTCCTGAGCCGTCAGGTAATCTCTGCAGTCTGTAATAAGATGACAATGTCCAGGTTCTAGGGCACAGGAGCCTTAGGACATGACCCTCTTGGTGCTTCCTTCTGGTTCACTTGAGTGACTTCTTGCTTCGTGTTGCATTGGTTGGTCTAGTCAAATTTGCTGTGTAATTAATGGGTATGCTTGTCTACCTAACAGAGTGCTGGCAGGTCCACATGGCGGCAGTGCACCGTAGCTGGAGGTTAATCCTTTGTGGATGTAGCCCTAAGTAAGGAGGGTGGACTGTGTGCCTGCATTGGCTTTCGTTAACCAGAAGCTTAACTTTGGAAATGACATAAAGAAAAGCAAAAAAAAAAATAATCTATCGTTTGGGTTGGGTCCCGACAGCTGAATCTCCGGTTCCCCTCAGGCAACGCTCCCATCAGAACTGTACGACGTGGCAAACGGTTCGTGGGAATGAGGTAGCGTGTCCCATGTGAACTTTTTAATTTTTTTCTTCTATTAATATCTCCCGGTTCAGCTGAGGACCGGGCCGCTGCTGTGCGTGTGCGGCAGAGGGCACTGCTCTGCTGGCTGGAGGACAGCCCTCAGCCCGTCCCTGGGGGCCGCAGCTGGCTCCAACGCCGGCTGTTTCCAAGAGTCTCTCAAGTAACAAAACAGAAATAAAAACAAAACAAACACTGCACAACATGAAAAGCCCGAGCGCTTGCCATTTCTGCAGCTGGAAGGAGCGTTGCTTCCCTTCCAAGGCTGCCGTGGTCCAGCTGAAACACAAAGCCCCTGTCTATGGCTCTCGGCGTTTTGCTGGTGCGTTTGGTCCAAACGTGTGCTAACCACCACAGCCGTGCCAAAACCAGGCACCATCCCCCCACACA